TCTGACATACTTTGGACATGTTGTAAGGAGGGACTGGTCCTTGGAGAGCGACATCATGCTTCGGAGGGTGGAGGGACAGCACAGGAGGGGAAGACCCTCTATGAGGTGGATTGATTCAGTGACTAGGGAAATCGGGATGGGTGTGTCAGAGGCAATGCGATTGGCACAAGACAGAGCAGGGTTTAGGGCTGTTGTACATAGGGTCATTATGAGATGCAAGAGACTCAACGGCACATAAGAACTACTACAACAACAACAACAACATTTTTAAAGATTCAAAGTAACAGAAAACTAATGACACAAAATAACATGTGTCTTCTATTGGCAAAAGTATTTTTACAAAATAATACTGTGGTAAAGAAACCAATTCATAATAACCAGTTAGGGATTATAATAGTAAGTCACTGTACCAGAAAGAACTAGCTGACACAGAAGAATTTCATGCAACAACATATGATTAAGAGGTAATGGTCAAGAAGGAGGGCGTTCAAGCTGCTCTGAAGGACTTGGCAAAAAACAAGGCCCCAGGAATTGGAATATCAACTGACATTTTAACAAACAGATGCATCCCTGGGCGTGCTCACCAGGTTGTGCCAAGAAATCTGGAGGACAACTACCAGGCCAACTGACTGGAAGACATCCATATTTATTCCCATTCCAAAAAAAGGCAATCCAACAGAGTATGGGAATTACTGAACAATACCTCTAATATTACATACAAGCAAAATCCTGGGAAGATAATCCAAAAATTATTGGAACAGCATCAGCAGAGAACTACCAGAAATACAAGCTGGATTTAAAAGAGGCCATGGCACTAGGGACATCATTGCTAAAGTCATATGGATCTTGGCTGGAAACAAGAGAGTACCAGAGGATTGTCTATTTGGTTTCATTGACTATTTGTGTGGATCACAACAAACTGTGTCTAACATTGACAAGAATGGGAATCCCAGGACACTTGATTGTGCTCATAAGAAAACTCTACTTAGTCTAGAAAGTAGTCATCAGAATTGAGCAAGGAAACACTGCATGGTTCAAAATCAAGAAAGGAGTTTGTCAGGGATGTGTCCTTTCTCCATTCCTTTCCAATCAACATGTAAAACAAAATGCAGTCTAGGTATGAGGAGGAATCAGGATTGGAGGAAGACTCATCAACAACTTGTGTTATGCAGATACAACCTTGCTTGCTGAAACTGAGGAGGACCTGAAGCGCTTGCTACAGAACATCAAGGACTGAATATGGACTGCAGCTTAACATCAAGAAGACAAAGATTTTCACCACTGGGCCAATTGGCAGCATCATTATAGATGGAAAAGACATTGAGACTGTTAACAATTTCAGCTTGCTTGGTTCCACAATTAACATTCTTTGCACCACCAGTCAGGAAATCAAAAGATAAATGTATTAGGAAAATTTTCTGTCAGGGACCTTGTCAGAGTGCTACAGAACCACCATGTCTGTCTAGAGACTAAGGTGCGCCTAATCCAGGCCATGGTCTTTGCAATTACTTCCTATGCATCTGAGAGCTGGATGATGACTAAGGATAAGAGAAGAATCATTAATGCCTTGAGCTGAGAAGAGTCCTGAATATACTGTAGATTGCCAAAACAATAAATAGGTCTGTCCTGGAGAGGGTGCTCCTTAGAGAGAAGGATTTTGAAGCTCTGTCTGGCTTGCTTTGGGCAAGTTGCCAGGATGAACCAGTCCTTGGAGAAGGACATCATGCTTGGAAGAGGGTGGGACAGTGCAGGAGAGGAAGACCCTGGATGAGACACTGACCCAGTAACTAGGCTAATGGGGATAGGTGTGTTAACTAGGCTAATGGGGATAGGTGTGTTGGGAGTCAATGAGGTTGGCTCAGGATAGGACAGGGTTAAGAGGGGTTGTGCATAGGGTTGCTTTGAGTCGTAGTCAACTAAAAGGCACATAATAACAACAAGGATTACAACTGAAACCCTGAGGGAGGATCAGCTATGGGTCAGTTTTGACTCAATGGCACACAACAAGAAAGAGGAATTACAATAGCAACTGAAAACTCACTTTTAAATTCCCCAAGTTCATGTTATTTTGGACTGTTTCTAAACAACACTGGGAACACTCACACTTGCTCCATCCATTATCAGCACTGATTTGCCAGGAGAGAGATGAGAAAGATAATGTAGAGCAGTATAGGCTTGTACTCCATCACGAATGGTTCCAGCTGCTTCTATCCATGTAACCTTTTCTGGTTTATGAACTATCAGAAAGAACCAGAGAAATAAGCCATGAGCAAGTGAGGAAATGATGCATTAACAAGCCCAAACACACTAGGCTGACCTCCTGGGTCTGTCTCTTCTCTAGCTATACACTCCCTACTGCCCTGGTCTTACCATCTCTTCATCTTTCACCTAGTCTGGGGTCTCCTTGTTTCCACTCTAGTCCATGTATAACACATGCTCAGTACAGGGCCCAGGTTGTGTACATGTGTGCACTTACTGTGAGATAAAGCACATCAAGAAAAGTACATGAAATATAAAGCACACTTGGATGACTTCTGTTCTGATTCAGCAGCTCCCTCTCCCCCCAGAGGCCATCTTTATTAGAACTTTTTTTTTGCTTGCTCTTAAACTTTATCACTTATGTATGCACTTATAAACAAGATCATTTAGTTTTTGTAGGGTATAAGTTAGCTTTGTCTGGTTTTTGACCTTACAGAAATAACACTATATATATATTTTTTTTTCCCTCACTTTTTTTGCTTATTATGTTTAGAAGATTCACCACATAGGCGTATAGCGTGGTACTCTCACTGTAATCCTCTTACGTCATTCCATTATGTGAAAACACCTTCATTTGGTTATCTACTCCCTAATTCATTTATATTGTTTCAAGTTTTGACAGAAAGAATATTAAGTATATATTTTTAATAAAAGATATTGTTACACTGATGCATGGGTATTTATCTTTACCTAGACAGTGGAATTCCAGTTCTCAAGGTACAATGCCTTCAATTTTACAACATGCTTACAAAGTGACTACATCAATTTATTCTTTTGAAACAGTATATCAGAGCTTTAGGTCCTGTGGCCATCTTTGTATTCCTTTTCAACTCTTGGTATTTGCAGACACAGAAATCTTTACCAAGCATGGGGATCTGTAATGGTGTCTTACTCTGATTTTAATTTGCATTTTCCTCATTACATGTCAGAGAAGGTGAGAATGACCCAGGATAGGGCAAAGTTCAGATCTCTTGTTCACAGGGTCGCTATGAGTCACAGTCAACTCAATGACACCCAACAACAACAACAATAATGAAGTTGACCTCTGATGGCTTAGAGGGTAAGAAATTGCACTGCCAACACAAAGACATGCAGTTCGAAATTACCAGATGCTATACTGGAAAATCTTGCTATGTTTTTTAACATGTGGAATTTCCTTTTGCAAGTGCCTGTCTGAATATTTTATATATTTTTTTCTGTTCCACTTCTAAAATTTTACATATTTCTACTTCTTAATATATTCTAGATGAGTCCAAACTCAAACCCAACTTACTGCTGTAGAGTCAAGTTCAACTAAAAGTGCCCTCCACTGGTTTTCTGAGGCAATAAATCTTTATAGGAGCTAGCCCGTTTTCCTCTCATCCCTATCCCCCGAAGTGGCTGCTGGATTTGAACTTGTAGCCTCTTGGATGGTAGTGTAACACATAATACATTGTACCACAGTATTCCTTTTGTATGTTTATGTATTGCAAATATTGTTTTCAACTTTTAAATTTCTCTTTCCAAACTCTTTGAGTATGTATTTCAAATACAGAAATGCCAGAATGATCATAGAGAAAGCACAAATATTAGGAACAACTGATGCTTAAAATTCATTAATAGATTTCCACTGTACTTAGAACAAAAGGCAAGTTTCTTAATATATTTAAAAAGCTTAATGATTCTATTTGTTTTAAAACTGTTTATTTTCTATAGAAATTTTTCACAGTATAAACAATTGTTTATCATGCTATCTACAATCAACTTTATACTATTTTTTCATAGTCTTTACCAGTTCTTTTAAATATGTTTTTCTTCTAATGGTAATAGATTCAGTTGCTGTTGTTGCTATGTGCTCATGAGTTGGAACCAATTTATAGTTGACTCTCCAGTGGGCTTTTAGAGGCTGTAAATTGCATAAGAAGAGACTGCCCAACTTTTTCTGATACAGCATCTGGTAGTTTCGAACTGCTTGTCTTTCTGTGTTGGTAATACAGCTCCTTACCCAATAAGCCACCAGAGCTCAAATTCAGATCTAAGCGGTTTTTTGAGCATCACAGAGGAGTCTTCATAGCATTTACAAATAAAATAGTGCCACCTAGTGGGAAAG